TAGGAGCCAGGACTCCTGGGTTCTGCATCCTCTGCCAGCGCCTCCCAGCCTGGCAGCACAGGAGCTGGTCCTGCCTTGTTCCCCAGGCCTCAGTTTCCTTGCCAGTGAGAGTGGCAGAGCCGTGGCTGGGGCTGGCCTGCTTCGACGCAGCTTGTAGGGCACACGTGGGGACACCCCCATGCATAGGCAAGCATGACAGGCCTGCATGCTCACCTGGAGTCAGAGCCCTCGAGCCCCACCACCCCTGAGAAGGCCCCAGCACTGGTGGGGTTAATCCCCCCTGCACACGCAGCCGGGCTCCGCGTGCGCCTTGTCAGGGGGAGGCAGCTCTGGCATTTCTGCGCTGCCGGCAGACAGGAGCTGACAGCTGCCCCCGCCCCGCCTGTCAGACAGCCCCGCGCCGCGGCCCGCGGGACCCACCGCACCGACAGCCAGGGCCGGGGGGGCAGCCCCAGGGAGGGGGGCTGGTGCAGAGCACAGGAATCTCAGGGGAACACGTGTGTCCACGGAGGCACACACATGCAGGGGCACACGAGGACACATGCTTGCACAGGTGCGCACACGTGTCCAACCCCTGCTGCCCAGGGGGTGGGCGGGGGTGGGGGCTGGGAGGGCACAAACAGACCTGAGCAGCCCCCCGGGATGAGCCCATTGTGCCAGGCCCGAGTAAACGATGGACCCTGAGCCCTCGGCTGCAGCCACTAGGCTCAGCTCCCCATGTCCAGCTGGGGCAGGTCCCAGGCGTCCTGCCCCACCCTTGACCCGTGACCCTGGGGGCAGCTGCAACCCTTCGCTCCCCAAACCATTTGTGAGTTGTCATGGAAAGGCAGACTTGGCATCCTGCAGCCCCCACATTCGGCCCCCGACCCTCACCCCAGCTTGAGCCCTGCTAAGCCAGGTGTCCTCCTGCCTCCTCCCATGCTGAGTGTGTAACCCAAGCATCCTCGTGCCCCCACCGCCCAGGCTGGGCGTTGAACCCAGGTGTCCTGGGCCCCCAAAGCCCCGCGATGCCACATTGCTGGTGCCCACCCAGAGCAGCCCCGGCCCCAGCCCAGCACCTGGGCCAAGCCGGACGACCCGTGGGTGGCATGAGGGGCTGACATGGATCAGCCGCCTGTTAGGACGCCTAATTGGAGGCATTGATCAGTGCCGGCCACCGGCGTTTAGGGCATCGATCGCCAGCGCCGCCCGCTAATGAAAGCATCTGTCATCGCCATGGCTGGGTGGGGCCGGGCGAGGTCCGGGACCAGGGTCAGGACACCTGGGTCCTGTCCCTGGCTTGGGGGGCGGTCCAGTGGGTTACACAGACAGCAGGATGTCCGGATGCCTGGGCTCCCCGCCCTGTGGGGGTGGGAGGTGATCGGGGCTGGGGGGCGCTGATCCGCAACCAGGGTACAGGTTGGGGCTGCCGGGTTCTGGGCTCCTTAGCGCAGTGACGGAGCAGCCTGGGACCCACACATGGAGCCACACACATGCACACACGTGTGCATCCCCCAGGACATGGGCACGCACCCTCTTGCCCACTCCTGTAGTGCATGGGCCCCACATACCTGCACCCTTGCAGACATACATGCAATCCCCATCCACACATGGCCCCAGGTGCACATGCACAGGTGGCCTTGCACATGTGTGCACACACTAGTACACACACCCTCCCATGCACACCCCTGCACTCTCACAAACATACATGCAACCCTTATCCACACACACCTCAGATGCACACACACAGGGGGCCTTGCACATGTGTGCACACACCCTCCCATGCACACCCCTGCACCTTCACATACACACATCCATGCAACCCTCACCCACACATGCCCCAAATGCACACACACAGGGGGCCTTGCACACACGCGCACACACCAGCCCACACCCCCTCCCATGCACCCCCCAGCACCCTCCATACATACATGCAACCCTCACCCCCACACACCCAGGTGCACACACACAGGGACCCTTACAGACACACATGCATATGCACACACACGTACCTCCAGCCTTCCTGCACACAGGTAGCTGCAGAGGTGTGCACACACCTGAATACACGTGTGCGAACACAGGCCCCCCAGGACATCCCCTCCCACCTGGTGTGTCTTGCCCACAGGCCTCCCCCCAGCCCATGTGTACTCCCCTGGCCACGCGTGCTCAAGCCGTGCTGCAAGGAGAAGCAGCGAGCCGGGCGCAGGCAGGGGGGAGCAGGCCAGGGCCTAATTCCGCGCATCACGTCGGCTTGTCAGTTTGCCAGTAATTAATGCGAACTCCGGGTCCGGGGCCCCTCCGGAATCGTACATCACTGCCAGCGCCGGCAGCCCCGGCCCCCTCGCCCAGTGCCGCGCGAGGGGAAGGCGCTGGGGCTGGCGGCGGGCGCACGCTCATACATTAGGCATGTCAGCGCAGGGCCGGCTAATTGTCGGCTTTAAATGTCTATTTGTCAGCGTGCGGCTCAGGGGCGCATGAGGCGAATCGCCAATGAGGGGTAGCCCGGGCAGCGTGGGGGGCCAGCCAGGCCTCGCGTGTGGACGCCAGCCGTCACCTTGCCCCGGCATGGCCCGCACGGGGGAGCTGGGCCTTGCTGGGGTCAGCAGTTGTGGGGTCCCCCCCCCCAGCAGCAGGGGACCTCTGGGCGGGCAGGGGCACCCCCAACCCAGGGTGGGGTGCCCCATGGTGCCAGCGCCCCGCATCCACCTGCCCT